TTTTGATGATTTTTTGTGATTATTTGAAAAAACTCTAATGACGGGTTCATATATATATATAGGTAGCACTGTTATGTGTATGTGTATTGCATAAAATGCTCATTTCATTGCAATCATATAATTCTCGTCAAGGCGGCCAGTCTAAATAGAGATTAGCCGTATGCGCTAGTACAGGTGCACCCACTGTTTCCTCACTCTCATAGGCCGATGAGATGGTATTTTGAGACCTGAGAGATATCAGGCGCAGACCGACGACTTTACGTGCTTTTTAATATGAATCGCATGTTTCATTATTAAACGTGATACATTTTAATTTATATTTTCTAGTCACACTGTAAAATAAAGGTGTTAAAATATAATATAAAAACGGTGGGTATTCGATTGCAATATTGTATCAAAATTTCAAAACAGTCGGTGAATACCATTTGGAGATATAAGATTTTGAACAAACAAACTTTTCCATTTCTATTTACACAGATATTTTCACTTTAGGGTAACTTAATAAGACATTTGTGTTACTTTACCGATTCTGCTTACAATGACAGATTGTACGGAGGCTCATGTTTTGATACTAACATAAAGAATAATATTAAATAATTTAATTGATTCATAAATAATTCTACTTCTGTATACCAATTCGGCAGTTTTACTAATATTCTTAATAAACGCTGGAATGATCTGATATAATAAGTGATTTTAGAGACAGTAAAAATGCTTTTAAAATTTATTTGAATCTCAAAAAGTCGCGCATTGCAGAACCGAAATAGTCTCGACAGTCTTTAATGTCCCTTATAAAAACATGTTATGAACTCATGCAAAACATTTAAACTTTTGCTATATTTTATGGTTATTTTAAGTAGAATAAATTTTGACTGTGTCATAATTTTTGATATGATATTATTTCTTACTTTCACTTATGAAATAAGTTGAATTTTGATTTAGATTTTTATTACAAAAATTCTCAAAAAATGAGATTCGTGATACTATATGTATAAATGATCAACACGGGGACCAAAATAAGTTTAAAGGTAACATTTTAAATAGGTAACGAAATGAAATTATAGAAATAAATGAAAAATAAAAATGCACCAAAACACAAAAGCGATTCATTTTATTTATTACATATACTCCGATAATATTGATTTTCGCTTAGATTATGAACACTTTCATTAAACTAAACCATTTGCAATTCGCACAAACCTAATTTCCTAATCCTAATGCGTATTTACAAAGCCCGATCGATTTAAAAATTTCTCGCTTCCATATCTGTACAAAAATAATGTAGGACACATAGTTACTTAGGCATTACTTTGCTTATTATATACAAGAGCTAAAGGTCACTAGTGTAAACGTCTTGGTGTTACTAATTTTATTGATATCCCTAATAGTAATTTCTCGTCCGCGTAAAAACTACTAGTATAAAATTTTCTTTCACTCAAATTATATTATATGCTATAAATAAAATTATTACAATATTACATTCATTACCATTTATTATCGTATTTTAGGCACAAAAAACGTTACCAAGTGCCTACAAGCATCACACACTAACACTACCTATGAAATAGGCGAGGGGTTTTAGTCCTACAGGTCAAATATTCGATCGATTCAAACTAGCCCCTAAATATTAAAATAATGGACGCGTATATAAAAGAAAATACACGCCGAAATGCGTTTATTATATATCTTATCGAATCCTCTTATATCCTCGTACAACTAAGTGAACGAAAGCTACCAAAAAATTACGTACAGTGAGAAAATTTTACTTTTTAAAAATAAAAATGCTTCCCACATTCTATTTCTTAGCTTTTCTAAGCTTTACATGCGTCCAAAGAACAATAGAGTCAACTTTTCTCCTACTGGCTACCTTATTATAATATTTATTATTTTGACACTTAATTTAAAATTCATGACATTTGACTTTTGACATTTGACATTCTGTTGACCCTACTTTATTTTTTCACGTATAAATACGTATTTAACTCCCAAATGAAAATTTCAGAAAACAAGAAAGCAAAAATGTTTAGCTTTAATACATTATGTCAATTAATGCGAAAAATTTTCTGAGAACGTCTCATGTCGTTCCTTTACACAGAGAATTTAAAAGTTAGCTTAAACTAGTTATTTGCATATGAATATATATACAAATAACTTGTATATACTTATATCTGTGTTAAGTGTGCACAATTACAAATTATTATGAAACATTATTTTTAGTTCATTTACCATTGAATAAACAATAGAACTCAAACGTTTTTATAATTATTGCGTTTTATATAATAGTATGATAAAAATTAAATAAATGAACTTTTAAATATATTTTTATATTCTTTAACTTACTTGTGCGTTCCTTAAATATCAATGATATTAAGTTAATCATTTGAATTAGATGACATCGGTATGACATTAATGTGAAATAAATAGCAATTTCTTTTAATGAGATTATCATAAATAAAGAAGAAAAATAGGACTGATTAAAAAACTTCCGATGTACACATTTCCATCAATTAAGCACATAAACGGACAGTTTTGTATTTATTATAAAACAAAAAAAATTAAATGAAAATAACAAAGATATTATATTTGTATGTTAGAATCATATCATAATATTATGATTCTAACATACAAATATAATATAATGTAAAATACGACATTTAGTTCACATAATTCAATGTCAACGATTCCTCTGCTCGCTCTAAACTTGCCCTCAATTCCTCTTAAATTTCGACATAAAACCTAATATTAGTAGGAAACTGTTGCGCGAACGAACGCGTTCACACTTGATGCTCGTCTCTTTAAGAGTCTGGAACCTCGTCGAAGCACTTTCTAGAAGGTTCTTCATATACTTAACGTAATCACTGTCCGACTTTGAGAGTCGGTTTGTATTGTCCACTGTAGTATTTTCACCAAGCATTATTAAAGGCTCCCTGTAAATAAAGAATTTATATTGTTTGTAATTAATGACAAGTATATTTTGACAGAGGAAAATTGAAACAGATGATGTGCAGAAGCATCTTCCTGACAACATCTCGAAGTAATAAAAGAACTGCCATTTTCGCAAAAATGTTCTAACTGTGATACTTGCCCAGGACATTGAGTTTGTGGTTCTGTAGGGGATTACCAAGCTACCTATCACTGCTTTTACAATTTATTATTTAAAACCCTATTTTTTGACTACACGGGGTTCAAGTTGCTTTCTGCTCTTTGAACTCTGTCTACTCCCTCAAGGATTATCCATTATTCATTACAATCTTTTAAAATCTATTAAGTTACTATTACATAGGCCTCCCCCATAAATACCTTCCAGGCAGGCTTCATCGCCATATTTACCATAGTTGGTAAGCGGGTTGGCCTCCGCAGTTTTATTACACAGCACAGACGCACTACATTCAAAGCTAGTGGATATGGAAATATACACATTGTATATGAATACACACATAAGCACACACAAAAAACTGTAATAGGTTTAATAGATTTAAAGTCGTTAGTTGATCTTATGATAAAACCGAGAGATTAGGAGGCCTTCCTCACTTCAAAAATCGATGTGATTATCAAAACAAACGCTTAGAATCTTGGATTACTCCTAAATCTTTCATAGATGCAACTTTAGTAACGTGTTTCGAATAGAATATTGTGTAAAATTATTCAAATTGGATTGCAAACGTACAAATTCAGTAAAGCTATTGATGCCCAACGCGTATGTTCAAAAAAGTGTACGTACATATATGTACGTGTGTATTTTTTAATTACTGCGCTACTCCACGTCTGCACACTCACCTACAGTCAACCAAATCTAAGAATAACATATTGACAGCTGACAGATTTATTACACCAAGCATGCCAACCAAACAAATGGGAACGTACAATATTCGATTCTTAAAAAAATCGATATCAATTATTTAGAGTTGGTAATCATTTACAGTTTGGTTTGAATAATACCAGAATAAATTAAAAACGGATAATTTAAAACACAAGATTTATCAATTTCTTCGAATTTGTTGTTACTGCTTATTTCTAGAGGCACAGTTATAAAAATTTTAGATTGAAACTAGATTAAAAATAAATTTATTCAATCACTTTCAGTACAACTAGTTGAGCTGTCGTTGTTTAGATTAATTACTATTTGAATTTCAATAATGTAGTCAAAATTAATGTCTCTTTCAAAGTCATACATCACACTTTTGCCCAATCATCCTTTGTGACATGGGCACATGCTTCAACGAATATAAAAGAGACAGTTCAAAAAGTTAAAGCTGAGTCACAAAATAAGAAAAAAAACACAAATCACAAAATTACGCACAGTGAGCTCCAAAATGGCGGGAGATTGTTATTACGTAGTGGTTTTTTCAGCGCGGTATTGTATATGAGTTTTTTGCCTACACAAATTTACGTTGAAAAAGTAAAAAAATAAACTCGTTTTATTCATGATTCATATTATTTAAGGAATTTTAAAAATAAAAATTTAATTAAACAAATAATAAATTTAAAAAAATTAATGATTCGATTATTTTAATATTTTTACCGATTATTTTAATATTTTAGTTGATTATTCGGGTAACAACGAATTTTAATCATCTAAATACTACGGTAATGTACATAGCGACATATCATTGAAACGACGTCGAGTGAAAAAAGTTGATACTGGTTATTTTTTTAATATTTTGCTTTGTTTGAAAGATTCGAATTTAAATTAGTGATAAAAAACTACACACATTGTAATGAAATGTAGATAACTTCGTAATTCTTCGGATTTACGTAAAAGGTTAATTTAAGTCGTGCGAGTACGTTTGTGCAAAGTTATTAAGCGGAATGATTAATGTGAAACGTCAAAAGGTATTTCTTAGATTTGTGTGCGTGTGTGCTGTGCACACTCACCTAGTCGGAGTCGTCGTTAACGCTGGAGCGCAGCTTGGAGAGCGTGCGGCGCGCGGCCGGCGTGTCGTCCTCCTCGTGCGAAGAGATCACGTCGCGGGACGTGTGTGCGTGTGTGCCACACTCACCTAGTCGGAGTCGTCGTTGACGCTGGAGCGCAGCTTGGAGAGTGTGCGGCGCGCGGCCGGCGTGTCGTCCTCCTCGTTCGAAGAGATCACGTCGCGCGACGTGTGTGCGTGTGTGCCACACTCACCTAGTCGGAGTCGTCGTTGACGCTGGAGCGCAGCTTGGAGAGTGTGCGGCACGCGGTCGGCGTGTCGTCCTCCTCGTTCGAAGAGATCACGTCGCGCGACGTGTGTACGTGTGTGCTGTGCACTCTCACCTAGTCGGAGTCGTCGTTGACGCTGGAGCGCAGCTTGGAGAGCGTGCGGCGCGCGGCCGGCGTGTCGTCCTCCTCGTTCGAAGAGATCACGTCGCGCGACGTGTGTACGTGTGTGCTGTGCACTCTCACCTAGTCGGAGTCGTCGTTGACGCTGGAGCGCAGCTTGGAGAGTGTGCGGCGCGCGGCCGCCGTGTCGTCCTCCTCGTTCGAAGAGATCACGTCGCGCGACGTGTGTGCGTGTGTGTTGTGCACACTCACCTAGTCGGAGTCGTCGTTGACGCTGGCGCGCAGCTTGGAGAGCGTGCGGCGCGCGGCCGGCGTGTCGTCCTCCTTGTCCGAAGAGATCACGTCGCGCGACGTGTGTGCGTGTGTGCTGTGCACACTCACCTAGTCGGAGTCGTCGTTGACGCTGGAGCGCAGCTTGGAGAGCGTGCGGCGCGCGGCCGGCGTGTCGTCCTCCTCGTCCGAAGAGATCACGTCGCGCGACGTGTGTGCGTGTGTGCTGTGCACACTCACCTAGTCGGAGTCGTCGTTGACGCTGGAGCGCAGCTTGGAGAGCGTGCGGTGCGCGGCCGGCGTGTCGTCCTCCTCGTCCGAAGAGATCACGTCGCGCGACGTGTGTGCGTGTGTGCTGTGCACACTCACCTAGTCGGAGTCGTCGTTGACGCTGGAGCGCAGCTTGGAGAGCGTGCGGCGCGCCGCCGGCGTGTCGTCCTCCTTGTCCGAAGAGATCACGTCGCGCGACGTGTGTGCGTGTGTGCTGTGCACACTCACCTAGTCGGAGTCGTCGTTGACGCTGGAGCGCAGCTTGGAGAGCGTGCGGCGCGCGGCCGGCGTGTCGTCCTCCTCGTCCGAAGAGATCACGTCGCGCGACGTGTGTGCGTGTGTGCTGTGCACACTCACCTAGTCGGAGTCGTCGGTGACGCTGGAGCGCAGCTTGGAGAGCGTGCGGTGCGCGGCCGGCGTGTCGTCCTCCTTGTCCGAAGAGATCACGTCGCGCGACGTGTGTGCGTGTGTGCTGTGCACACTCACCTAGTCGGAGTCGTCGTTGACGCTGGAGCGCAGCTTGGAGAGCGTGCGGCGCGCGGCCGGCGTGTCGTCCTCCTCGTCCGAAGAGATCACGATGCGCTGGCGAGGCTTCACGCCCGTCGCGCCGCGCGTCATGCGCCGCGACACGCTCGACGTGTCTGCCGACCGTACGCAACTTTTAAGAGCTTGTATATATAGAGTAAATGAAAATCATTTGCATCCTATGCTTTGTACGTGGTAAAGCCATCTATATTATACATTATAAATGTTACTTATAAAAATATTCAAAACATCTGTGTGTACTTATTATATATATATCTACATAGTTTAAGCTCTGGATAAGAGTTACACAAGCTCTTTACCAATAATGGGTGTGTAAGATTTGTACAATTATAAACTCGCTAAAACAAAAACCATTGGCAACATTCATCGAGAACGTTTTGAAACTAATTTGTCAAATTGTGCAGGCATTTTGAAAAGACAAACTCCTTATAAATTAATTCTCTTCTTGTAATTAGTCACACAAGTTATACCCAAAATATTGTTAAATTTAATTTAGGAATAACCTAATGTTTAATGCGATTAAAACTAAACATTATTTTCGCAAAGCTTATAGTAATAGAGATGATTATAGTAATAGAGACTCGGATGGTTAACGCTCGCTGTAAATTCAAACACAGTACGCGAGCAAACCGGGTTCGATCTCCGCCGGCACCAACGAAATTGTTAATTGCAATTTTAAGTGCTGATTTACCACGTGCTCGGCGGTGAAGGGAAACATTGTGAGGAAACCGGCATATCAGAGAAATAAGAAAAAAAATATTTCGAAGACATGTAAAGTTCGCCAACACGCATTGGGGCAGCGCGGCGGACAATTCCTTGCCCTAAAACCCACTCAGAAAATGAGCGGAGGCCTGTAACTTTACTTTTAATAACAATAATGAAACCCGTGGTTCACTCACTGACATAATTTTTCTTCCAGAAGAAGGCGCGGGAGGTAAAAATGATGTATGGAGAGTTTCATCAGTGAGGAACCAAGAGTATGGAAAAACTTTCAGATCATCAAAATCTGCTCCGCATCAGGGAGACACCCAACGTCCTGCCAAAACTATAACACATAGATGCATACTGTTGTCACATTACGTACCTGCACTTGGGTGGAATTCTATTGAAAATAACCTTGTTTTTATCAATTTAGAAATAAAATATGAATATATTGGGCAGGAACATAAAATTAATGTAATACGGTGCGTGATTGAAAAACATTTGAACATTAGGTCATTTAATCATTAGGTTAAATCAATTGAAAGTAAAAGGCAATCTTAGAAGAAATTGATTCAGCAGAAAGGTTTTAAATAAATACACAAACAATTTAATACCCAGTAATTTTATTTTTGATACTTTTCCAATTTCCTTCCTGCTTCCATCCCTACTTTTTACCCACACATCACGTCATAATGGCTAACCTGGACAATTTCGTTTCTAATATATGATGACGTTAACGTTAATCGTAACGTAACTTTGGAGTATTTTGAATAATGATGGCAACACCGGTTCACGCACTACATGCATAAAAAAGCGGCCTTAGTGCGTTGTTCGGCAGAGCTCCGTCTTCACTTTTATTTATTTTGTCTGAGGTCACAATTTGTAATCTAACTTTGTATATTATCTTTCAGAGTTTATTAAAAAGTTGTATGAAGGAGTTTGTCTCCATAATAGAATATATATATATATATATATATATATATATATATATATATTTTTATGTGTGTGTGTGTGTGTTTGTTTGTATGTATGTGTATATATATGGAGGTTTGTATATTTGTATTTGTATTGTATATGTATATTTTAAAAAAATGCACGCTGACTACCTCTATTTCCTTCAACGATCCTTCAATAGACCTCCTGGAAGAAATTTCATTATGAAATAAGCGGTGCCTTTGTACATCATTTTGTTTTTACCATTTTCCTATCGAAGTATGTGTGCACATAAACCGTTAAATAAATATAAATAAATAGAAAATTAAAACACAGATACAAATACTTATAAAAGCAAGACGAGATTGCTTGGCAAAAAGTCATGAAAATGTTTGTTAAATACCATTTTTATGAATTTTGTTTCATATTCATAATGTTGTATGCAAATTGTGATTGAGACAATTTCAGTTCTAGTGAATTAAATTAGATATTAGAATTGATTGAGGGTGAGAGATTTAGCTGAAGTATAGCAATAATTGTGCACTATGAAAATTGATGCAAAAATAAACATGTCACAATTAAAGACATCTATCAAATCTACAATACAATACAATACGCTTTACTGTACACCAATAAAATAGCAATATAACAAAAAAAAATTAACAAACAATGAGGGAAAAACAAAAGGCAGGGTTATTGCTACATAGCAAGCTCATTCAGACAACTGATAAGAAATTAATAAAAATGAGAAAAAGATTAACGGATAGGGTGCACTAAATTAAAAAAAACTAACTTATGTACTAAAATGACATCATACTTTAGGTAGTATAGGGGTGAGGGGTAACAAATAGTGTTCCTTAATTGTTTCTTAACACTTAATTAGATTTAGGAGATGTTAAGTAATTGTACAGGACATTGGAGGGAAAGATTTTACTTTGGACCGTAAGGAAAAAACGTGACAAGAACTAAGAAATTTTAAACGTTTTTTTAGATAGGGATGACTTGATATATTAAACAAGACGCGGTAGAATTACTTGAGTTTAGTTCGATATTCCGAGACATGGTCATATATACGAAGCCCAAATATAAACTGTATACAGATATTTTGGAGTCGCTCAAATTTGTTAAGTTGCTCCTCGGTGATATCAAGGGAACACATGTCAGCATAGTCGAAGATAGGGAGCAGTAAAGATTGTGCAACCTTAAGTTTGATGGAAATGGGTAAAAAGTAGTTAAGCCTTCAGAGTGAAGCATATGCTGCAAACATTTTTAGGCTCACAACATTAATTTGGGGAGTCCAAGAAAGAATGGAATCCAAAAGGATACCTAAATTTTAACAACTTTGTTATATGGGACAAGGACACCATTAAATAAATCAGGTTGAAGTTGACATTTTTTAATTTCGGAAATCATTCTCGAACTCACAATAATTATGGCCTGGGATTTTAACCTCTCAACCCCTAAGCAGTCTCACGAGACCGCGGCCATATTCCGTCAAATCCCTAGCGGCCTGACCGCCCACAGCAATTTAACCCATAAAAACTTATATATAGAGACTACTTTTCTACGAAGAAGTTTAAAAAAATTATATAATTAATATGAAATACTCTATCCTCTAGTGCAATAAAAAAAACTGTTATCCTATTAATATTTATTTATAATCTACGTTCATGTCGTACGCCATTTTCGCGTGAATGTTATTGTGTTGATTTTAGGATTTTTATAGTGTTTTATAATGTTTTACTATAGTGTTTTATTATAAAATTGTAATGAAAGTTTTTGTGTGAATATAATTTATCTTTTTACGTAAATAATTTCGAGTAAAATATATTGAAATAATTGTGATTTTCACGCTGCCGACATTCGCTTGGTACTTTTTTTTGTTATTAAAATACAATAAAATCTTTTTGTAATGAAGTAAAACCCGATTTTTGTTTAGACCACAGGATAGAAAATTTTGTATAGATTTTATAATGCTAAACTTCTTCATAGAAAAGTAGTCTCTAAATAAAGTTTTAATGGTTTTAAGTACAGTGGGTGGGTGCGGTCTCGGGATTTGCCGGACGCATGCGACTGCATGGGATTTTTATGGCGCTTGAGGGATTAAAGGGTTCATCGTCAACCCATAAGATCGACTCCAGTCGAGAATACAAGCCAGATCCTTGTTCATATATTCAACAGCTTTGGGAAGATCTTCAATGGTTGTTTGTAAATATATTTGAAGGTCGTCTGCATACAAGTGGTAGAGAGAAGATATTTGGGATGTAATCTAAATAAAAGAGGAGATAAGACCACACCTTGGAAACGCCAGCTACGGTATAAAAACGAATAAAGTCTATCTTGGACACGAATACGTTGCCGGCGCCCATACAAATTATGATATATGCCATATGAAACCAGGAAATTGCAGTTGGAGATATGTTAAGAAAACGCAGAATCCCTAACAGGATATCATAATAAACAGTATTGAAAACATTGCTGAAATCCAGCAACACCAATACTGTGACTTGATGACTCTGCATACCGTGGCAAATGTCGTCCGTTATTTTTAATAATGCCGTAGTCTTACTATGACCAGATCTAAAGCCACGTTGGAGAGGACTAAGGATGCTATTTCTAAAACAAAAGGAATTAATTTGTTGTAGGACAAGGCGTTCTAAAACTTTGAAAAGGAAAGGAAGAATTGAAATAGGACGATATTCAGAAAAACTTGAAAGATTTGCTTTTGCTTGAAAGATTTTGATTTGCTTGTAATTTTTGAGAAAAAGTATGATTTGGGCGTCCTACCATTGGGAAGGGAAAGAAGATGAGGATATGGAAAATTTTAAGATATAGGTTATTAGAGGTGTTAAAAAGTCTAGAAATGGAAAGATCAATTTACCAATGACATCATCACTTTCGACAGTATCAGAATGTATAGAGTATATGTTTGCTAACATCACAATCTGCAAATTGCCTAAACACAAATTGAGAAAAGTCATAAGTGGGAAACGATGAAAGTTGACTAAGTGTTGTTGATTTTTACTATATTTTCAAACATAAAATACTATAATACATACATACAATAGAACAGGCAATGATTTCAAAAGGAAGGATAGACCCATCTAAATATTTTACTCATAACTTTTTCATACAGGAAAAGTAGCGCATCTGTCATAATACAAACGTCATATCAAAACACGACGTAACCAGGGTCGGATTTCGTAGTATAATTATCCTAATTGTACCATTATTTCATAGTTTGTAGTACATAGTATCGTAATAATACTAAGCGAAAATACCATAACTTTACATAAAGGTCGACTTGTATTATTGTTGGGTCCTTTTACGTTTTAATATTAACTACGATATCGAGAATTTCTGTATTGTACATGAGTACCGCGTTTTTTTTAAATAAAATTAGGATTAGCTCCCCTTCTGGTCAATCGACGCTCGATCGATGCATTTATGTTGCATCCTTGATACAACTATAATGAGGGGCTACCACGATAAAAACTCTATGCTCCAGAAGCAATCAGTTAGAAAACAGAATTTCAAAATATTTTATGAATCAGATTTTCAGATTCAATTAAGCAGATATGGTTTCCTTTGTACTCTTTTCGTTTTACCCTTATTGATTATAAAATATATTAGGTACTAATATTAAAAATTAACTTACACTAAGTTCTTTAGACAAAAATTAAACAGAAATAAAAATTAAACCGTCAAAAACCGAAACGTATAGATAAACTAGACGCGTTACGTCAAAATCCCGGCACATGGGAAAAAAGAAACATGAAACGTACAATACTTTTGAGGGTCTGAATCCAACCCTGGTCCAGTCTTGGTAACGTAACTAAACTAACTGTAAAATAAAATTTTAAAAATGCGTTTATACAATAATTTAACTGTAACACAATTAATATAAGGTTATTTACCGATGATACGACATCCCATGTTTTTTTTCTAAATCTCTTTAAATCTTTGTATCGTAATTTTTGCATTCTTTTACTACGCAAGCAACTATACATATTTGTGACAGGCAAATCTGTCCTGCGTGCGCACCACTGTCGACCGATTCGCATTGGCCCTTAACTGTAGTTTTAGGGCCATAGCACTAGTCCGTTTTAGTTGTTCGGTCGGCCCGGTCCTTACGTTCGTAATATATAAGTCAATGAGAACAGGGGAGTGGCCAGAGCCCGTGTAGCCACTAACATGTCAATTCACACACCTATAAACGTCAACACAATCAATCGTTTCCAATTTTCGTGTCAAGCGTCGCTGCATGCAGATTATTTAAAAACTGACAAATTTTGAAATAATTACGTGTCGAAAAAACAGCGGGAAATGGATTTTAAATAAAGGAGATATCCTACAAGCAGTAAGTCGAAACTATTTATATTTTGTGAATATTAGAAACAAAAAAAAAATTGATGTGTCAAAAATATTAATCAAAAGTCTTAAATGTGTAAATTCGCTCAGTCTGTCAATACAGCGAATCGGATTTATAGTAGTGATAATACGACGTAATTGCTTGCATGTGTGCTCCCAGCGACACCGATCCTCGTACAAAATAAGGTTGACAGCCATTCTATTGTGTATTTTAGTATTCTATGTTTTCCAAGCAAGAAACAGAAGAAAAATGCTGATTAAGCAAATTTAAAATTTCAACGTTATTAGGAATAAGGCATGAACGAGTTTTCCTAACTGCTACAGACCTTAAGAAGTTCTAAATACGAAATGGATCTTCGTTTTGTACTGATTTATGGATGTGGCGGAGTCGTAAATCTCTACAAATCTTGTTC